CTTTCTGGAGTTAAAAATGCCTTATTTTAGAAGCATACACTGAAATGATATTTTGGAAATACTTGATCTGTGGAATGGTTGGAACTCTGACATTCACTGGAAATGATTTCCAGAAAGTCAATATTTTTGTATTTTAAATGATACAGAATTAAACTAAAAAAGAATGTGTCAAGGGTGAGTTGTGTTCATGATGAATTATGTTCCTTAATCTTAAAATAGCACATTTGATTTTTCCTTGGGATTCAACCAAATACGAAATATAATAGGAATCCAGTCATTACATCCCGTTACTGTTAACTAAATTCCAAAAATCAATATTATGTTGAATTATATATTTTTTTAAAAATTAGACCGAAGAAAACCTCTAAATTTTTAAGTAAGGATAGAATCACTAGCTCCAAAATGCAAGCAGCTGAAGACTTGAGTGTATATATTTAGATGCAGTACAGCACAAAGCACTGCAGTGATCAATTCTGGATGAGAGGAGGGCAGGCAGCAGTCTCTCGGCGTCAGATTTGAGGAGCTGGCTGATGTGTGGCACTGCTCCTAAATAATGCCGGGGAAATGGTGGTTATTAGAAATGTGTCTTTTGCTTAGTGTCTGAGGCTCAAGTGATGCCCGGGTGTATCCGAGTCTCTATGTCAGATATCTCAGAAAGTGTTGATTAGTGCAGTCTTTAACCACTAGTGCACAGACTGTCAACGGGGGAAGAAGGAAGCAGAGAGAAATCACTGTTTTCACTAAAGAAGATTCATTTGTGGCTTTTTAGAAATATATGCATGGATACAGAGGAATTTTGGAAGTTCAGCTGCGTGTCAGTTCAGCCAGGAAGGAAACTGGAACTAGATTATCAACAGCTAGTTCCTAAAGTAAGAAGGTTGGAGTGTAAAATACTACATATATATCTTTTTAAAAAAGACCACTGTCCCCTGAGGCTGTTCTCTTTATCTCTCTGGGAGAGCTGATCCCTTAGTATTGCTTCCCAGAATGAAATAATGCAATATAAGGGGTATGGAGAAGTATATGCTGTATTTTTTTTTTACCTCTGTTAAGTTTACATAAAACCACTATGGTATCCTATCTCCTGTTCTCTGTTAATGGATACAAATGGCTGTTTATTACTTCAATCCTCCTTGACCAACAGACCTTACCCATATATCTGAAAGGAAAGTACCCTAGAACTGAAGGAATTTTAATTTGCAGGAAGGATATATGAATTCTTTCTTGCAAGAATTTGCTGCATGCAGCAGAGCAACTTTTTTTTAGGGTGGCTTTTGTCTGTCTGATTGTTTTGTATCAAAATTGGCTTAAAGTGCCGAGTTTTTATTTCAATGTTTCTCTCTATTAAGTATTTCTTTGTCTTGTGATTTTTTTTTTCTGGAATTAGAAGAATCCACATTCTTCTAAACATTAGAGGACACAGTGCAGTCCACCTTTCTTTTTAGGGATTTAGGGAATGTTCTTAAACGAAATGATTAAAGTGTATATGATAGTTAAGACATTTGCTTTTATGATATATTTGGTTGGAGTTTCTTTAGATTTTGTGAAAAATTGGTTAAATATTGAATAATGTAAACATTCCAGCTTTGAAAATTTGAGAGGAGCTTGGGTTTTGAGTAGGCAGAAAAGAATTCTGGATGTAACAATAAAAACTAAGTTAAACTTGTATACGACTATGTTCACAGGTGCAGCTATTGCTTTACATAGCAATGAGTGCTGAATGAAGAAATTGATATGCAGATTAATAATGACATCCCTTTATAAGTAGGAAATGCAAGTGATTAGCAATTCCCTTGGAAAAATCAGAGTGTTGTACTTCTGGGATCACCTTAAATTGCCAAAAAGTGCTCAGGTTGCTACATGGAAATACACTTGCATGTCTGCTTTTTAGGTTAATAACAGGCCTCTTCAGACTCCGTTCTATCCTCCCTAACTCCTGCACAGAGCTTTTACTTGTGTGAGTAATCCCATTAATATCACTAGGACTGTGCACAGTCATAAGGGTTTGTAGGATTGTACCTTTGGAGACCAATATTTTATGCTGGCAGTTTCATGTTGGCTCATCTCCACTAATACTGCTTGTCTGTGATCAACCTGCTTTCTAAATATGTTTTATGATTTGTAACCTGATGCTAATACCAGTGAACTGTAATATTTGAGAACATAAATAATGTGACAGAAAAAGGTCTGTAATCCCATATACATGTTATCTGATGCTAACATGCTATTCATTAACTTCTGTTATATATTTTGAATTGCAGTATTTGGATCCAGACATCAGTCTTTACTTGGGGGAAAAAAATAAAACTCATTGTCAAGTATGATGTATAATATCCAATTTTATTTTCTCCATATGTTTGTGCTAAATGTATGCCACTACATCAGGTATTAAATGGCAAGCATGCAGTCTCCTGAAATAGCTGTGCTTTTACAAGTTGCATTATTTTCTATAAGCTTAGTTTGTTTGAAAATAAGAACCTGTTTAGAATATCCTCTCACTTCTTTCCTGCTTGCTTCACCTTAGAATTTCAGGCACGGAGTATCTCACATTCTCTCGTTTTTATAAAGAGAAATGTCCAAACCACTTTGTCAGCATTAGGGAAACAGCGGTGCCTAAGGATCCAAAGTGTACTTGGTAATAAACAATACTGTTTTAGGAAAGAGAAGCCAACCCCCTAGTTCTGCATTGTGGAGAACAGTTTCATATTCCACAAGAAGCAGATTGCTAAAGCAAAATATATAAAAGCAACGTGAAAGGGCTGTTTTAAGCTATGGTGCTCTCAATGGTAGGGTTTGGCTCTAGTGAAGCAGGAAAATTTATTTCAGAGCCAAAAATGGCTTCTTTGGCTGTGACCAGGATTTCCTCTGCCCACCTCTGGGAGCTAAAACTAGAGGTAGGAAAATTTGATTTTGGAGCCAAGTGTGACTTGTTTAGTTCCAGTCATAATTTACTGTTCTTACCTTGGGGACCTGAAAATAAAGAAACTCGCTATGAAATGTTGATAATGGGCGACTCTGAAGTGCAGGCATTAAGCTAACTTTCCCAGAGAGCATTTCTTCACTTCCACCTTTCCAGATGCTTTTGATCGTGCTGCAGTAGGGTGTACTTAATCATGTAACAGCTAAGAGAACTCTACCAAAATATATAGAAAAATGCACTCAAGCCCTTTTACATAAATAGATGTGCAAAGAAAATAAACTTGATAAGACTCGGCTTTCTGTGCATTGACATTATTCAAGAACTGCAACAGAGTTTGCCATTAATGAGAAGTATTTCCTTTAGCTGCTATAGAGTGAATATGGCAAATCCTTTTTTTTTTTTTTTTCTTCACCATTTCCAGCAACATAATTTGTGAAACATTATGGAAAACATCAAAAATATGAAGTGGGAAGCAGAAAAGCCTTTATGGGCAAAGCAGACATCGTGGCAGATTATGTATGTGTCTTTCTTAGAAAGAAGCACTGAATTGGGTAAATGCGTGTATTTGTACACACATAATTGCACTTCTCTTCCATGCCCCACTTCTCAATTAATTTAAATTAAAAATTGAGATTTAATAAAAAAATAGCAGAAGTTTAATTTGGGAGTATCTGTAAAATCCTATGCAATGCAATGTTCCTGCAGTGAAGAGAGGTAACATTTAAGTTCAGCTTATCAAATAAGGCTAGCGGATGGCATTTCTCTTTTACTGGTGCAAGGCTAATGTCAATATGTTGGCACAGATTACAGAAGTCATCCCTGAATATATCCAGAAGTAAAGCCCGTGGATAAATAATACAGCAAATCAAAACTTTTCCTTTACCTTTAATAGTTTACTTCGGAATTTTTTATGGATCAGAAAAGTGATTTTCTTGTGTTTATCTTGTCCTTAGCAAGTAGTGTTGACCTTTAAGTTTTTACTTTACTGTCAAAGTATGTTGAAAGCTTTAAAAGTGAAGCTATCACCTTGGGGATTTGTAAGGATGACTGACACTTACCACTTCACCTTGGACGCAGCGGCACTGAGCGTATGCAGCAGCGTTGTACCTCAGGGGAAGCTGTTTGATTTTTTTCACTTCTGCTTCACTGGAAATGGATTGAATTTTCTCTTCAGAGGAGAGTTTTGGTTGCATTAGATTTTAATCAAGTCACTTGTTCACAGTCCCTCAAAGCCTACAAGCCTGAGATGAGTAG